TTAAATGTACCCAAGGGTTCAGTGAGTCTCTTAATAAACCATGCAAGGGAGGCTTGAATCCTGGGGATGTCACCTTAACATTGAAAAGCAACCCTGACATTGAAGCACATTTATCGTGTTAAGCAAGCATTCTGCAGGTTGGAAATTACAGACGAGGTTTATGAGTAGAGGGATTTGAGCCCAAGACTGTGATGAAAGTCAAATACAAAAGTGTTTTCATGATTTTTACTCACTTGCTCTTTAGTTTGCTCATTCATTCGTTCATTCATTATGATTTCACTGAATACCATGTCTTACACTCAGTGCTGGGCTCAAATGCTGATGCTTAGAGGTTTTGAAGAATACTGGCAATAAGCAAGTAAACCAACACAACCAAGTAATTACTGATGGTGGTAAGCACTAAAAAGCAAAGAATAGCACTCTATCTCTGAGGATCAAACAAATGATGGAAGAAAGTAGTAAGGGTAGACACCCAGGATGGCTCACTGAATGAACATCTGAGTGGGTGAAGGATACTCAGATGTTTGGTGAAACAGTATGTCTAGCAGTACCAGTGAGGCTGCTCCTGCAAGGGACCAGCTTATGAACTGGTGCTTGAAGGAACACAGACAGCCCTCTTCACAACCTCATTTGGGCCTTGAGGGCCTGGACAGAATAAAACAGCAAGGGAAAGATGAATGGGCTCTCTCTGAGTTGAGCCATCCAACTCCTCCTGACCTTGGACTTCAGGGCTTCTGGCTATGTTGCCTCCAGATGCAGGCTGGGATACGCAGAGTCAGCACCTCCTCCCCAACTCTCAGGTTTCCTGACTCCCACTGAACTGCCACCCAGCTCTCCGCGTGCCAATCCCCACCACCAAGTCTCATCTTGGAGATATTTGCATGCGTGCTGCTTCTTCTGCTTCTTTGGAGATCCCTGACTGCTGTAGCATCTCCCATAGGACTTGATAATACTAAACAATCAATCTCAGTTTCTGAAATTCTAATCTAGATGGACATGTGTTGGTTATCTGATAACCCTATGTCAATCTGAGATAGCCATGAGACTTGCATTATTTGGTGAAGCAAATATAAAATAAGCAGAAGCTGATAGTGTATTTGCATGTGGGGGGTGTGTTTCTCTCATTCTTGGAATCCTATGGCTGTTGCATCTGTAAAGAAGAGACACGTGGACCTGTCAGCCACACTGACATGTGAGTGAAGCTGTGCTAGGTCATCCGGCCACCAACCAATCTGGCAGCTGGCAGCAGGTGCCATACAGCTGGCCCTTGGAATTGTGAATGGAATAGATAGTGTAGTTTATTGAGCAGCATAAACTAGTTGACACACCCAGATCCAAGTCTCAATTTCCAACTACAAGGACCTGGAAAGACCTTTCCCTACCAGGAACCGTCTTTACCAATGAATCCTATCAGTTGGTATATCAGTACCCAGCTCCCTCGTTTCTAGGATTGGTTCACTCTGAGGCACATATTCCGCATGGACTCCCAATTTCCCCATGAGATGAAGCCCCAGTTGCTGACAGCAATAGCTGCTAAATAGCATGCAATGTATCAACTATCACACCCTTCATGTTTCACTTCTTTTCCCTGTGTTCCATCCCCTTCTCTGGCCTCACATCTCTTGTCTTCTGGACTGGGAAGTCAATCCCAGACAGGGTTTCTGGTTTTGGAGAGTAAGGCAGCTCTCAGTGGCCCTGGAAGCCTCTCTAACTTTGGTCCCAAAATTAATGCTGGAGAAACTCCCAGGGGGAGGACTGATCCTGAACTACTGAACACCTACCAGCCTTCTCTGCCCTCGTCTCTGGCACACCTGCAGGGGTGTGGTGATCTTCTGAGAACTTGCAGCACCCTCAAACACTGATGGGTTATCAGGGTAGATCTAATTTGGGCCAGTCATCCATGCTGAGTAGTCTTCTTCACCTATATAGGGCTATATCTTCTCCCTGGGTCCTGGCACTGTCCTCGGACCCCCTTTCTCTGAGACAATACCTAACATTCAGCCTGGGACCTTGTTCTCTTGTCCTATCTTACCCTATCTGGCTCTGGCAGGCACTTCTTTAGGCTTGGCTCTTCCAGGAGTTCCACTCTGTCTAGAGAAGGCTGAGACTGACTTATGCCAAGATTTGTTTTAGATTCTCATAATGTACCCTAGGAGTCCTCCTGGTGGCATCCCAGCCCATCCCAGAGGTGTAGGGCACTGGGCTCATGGCTGTTACCCATACTTGCATGTTTTCTTACTTACTGCTGCTTCCTTTAGCCCTCATCTTTACCTTGTGACTTTCTCCGCAAAGCTGCATTTCTGACAATGCTCCCACGGAGACAGTGTCCATGGCATGATGCAATCTGCAACAATGGAGGCTTCAGGAATTCTAACTCATCTAGTATGTATGGACCAGCTGATGGTATTCCCAAAATGGGAGCAACAGGGAGTCAGGATCCAAGATCAGAGACACATAATCACTCCGTCTGCAGTCACCACCCACCTGTTCTTACATCCAGAGATGTTTATTTAGAGCTGCCCATATACTTAGGAAGCACACAGTCCAGTGGTAGAAGCAATCCATGAGTCACCAGCGTGTGACTTCTGTGAGGGAAAATATACAGCTTGCAGAGAGATGTAAATACAAAAGTCGAGTGGATCTGAGGGGAGGAGTCAGGCAAAGTCGGCCTGAGATGGGGTCCTAGATTGAGTGCCCAAGCTGGAGACCCTGGGTGGGATTCAGGTGCATGCGAGTATGCAGGGAAATGCTCCCAGAAGAAATCAGCAAACAGTTACAAAAGCAGGGCAATAAAGGGGAGGCAGGGTCCCCCGGAGGGTGGCAGCCCCGTCCCACGGGGGATATTCTGCCATGGAGGGTGTGGTTTAGGTTTGGTGCTGCCGCCAGGCACCTATGGATACTGGAAACTTTCAGGTACCTCTGGCTCTCTGGGGACAAGTTGAATCCAGTAGCCCAATGACCATGCCCCAAACAAGGGCCACAGAGATGAGGTTCTTTTTTTTTTTTTTTGGAAGAAGATCCCAGGGAAGCCGAGGAGAAGCACACTGACCCTGTGAAAGGGCTCAGTGAATTCCATTTTCCATTATTTTTTTAGTGGTTGGTAATGTCCCTCACACATAATATAACTTATGATGAAATAACTTCTTAAATAATATAAGATATATCTTAGTGTGTACCCTACAATAAAACTGGTTACCAAGTACTATAGCTATGGTCTAGGTTATTCTAAGTTTTTATTGGTTTTGGGAATAATCTATTAATGTATTCAAAGTAGGTATTTTAAAACTGGGAGATAAAGAAAGAAAAAGAGAACTATCCTCTACTGGTTCGCTCTCCAAATGTCTGCAATGTCCAGAGCAGGCCCCAGGATGAAGCCAAGGCCAGGGCACTCGATCCAGGTCTCCCACAGGGTGACAGGAACCCAATCACTGGTGAAACCACTTCTGTTTTTCAGTGTCAGTCTTAACAGGAAGCTGAAGTCGGGAGCCAGAGCTAAGTACAAACCAAGTTCCAGAGTGGGACATAGGTATGTGAACTGGCATCTTAACCACTAGACCAACTGCTAATCCTATTGCTAAATTTTCAACACATAATGATTATACACATTTATGGGATCAAATGTGAGGCACTGATAAACATAGTTACTGTGTGGTGATTAAATCAGGGTAATTATCATATCCATCAATTTTAACATTTATTGTTTGTGGTGAAAACATTCAAAATCCTTTCTTCTAGCTATTTTGCAATACATAATACAGCATTACTAACTATAGTCACCATGCTGTAGAGTAGAATTACTCTGTCACTCTGTACCTGTTAGCCACTAACTAAATGTCCTTATCAGACAAAGGAAAGCTCATCAAATCCTCTCCTTATACAGTAGAGGTCCCCAGAGCCCACCTTTGTAGCTACAAGGAACATTGTACCTTAGCCTGCATGGCCAGGGTCTACAGCCCCAGCTCCTGACAGCACAAAGCCAACTTGCCATGTCCCTGGATTTTCATCCTCCCCTCTGTATGGCTCCTGCTGAAGAGCATTCCCTTCCACGCAGGTTCTAGGCTCAGGTTCTAGGCCTATCTCCAAGGCCAAAGCTAGTTCCTTCAACACCAATCCTGGCAGGTAACAATGCTCAACAGACAGCAAGTGATCGATGTGACTACAGGGCCATGACTTCAACGCTATCAGCATGGCTCTCTCCCAAGCCCCCTGTGCCCAACCAACTCTGAGGTTATCAACAAAATCCTTTCGTATAGGAAAGATCAGCAAAACTCAGTGGTTGGCATCTCACTTCCATCTTAGACTGTTCAGGGCAAAGTGGTTTTAAACAACAGACATTTCCTTCTCTCAGTTCTGTGGGGTTGAAGTCCAAGATCCAGACACCTGCAGATTTGGTCTGGTGAGGGCTTGCCTTAAGGCTCTTATGGGGAAGGGGCAAGGCAAATCCAAGGTCTCTCTTAGAGACACAAATCCCATTCACAAGTGTCCCACCCCACCTGTGTAACCTGGTCTCCCTAAATCACCTTAACTATGACACTGCTTAGATTAGACTTCAGCATTAGAGTTTTGGGGGAGGGCCCAGCATGATAGCCTAGCAGTTAAAGTCCTCGCCTTGAACGTGCTGGGATCCCATATGGACACTGGTTCTACTCCCAGCAGCCCCACTTCCCATCTGGCTCCATGCTTGTGGCCTGGGAAAGCAGTCCAGGATGGCCCAAAGTCTTGGGACCCTGCAGCCACGTGGGAGACTCAGAAGCTCCAGGTTCCTGGCTTCTAATTGGCTCAGTTCTAGCCGTTGCAGCTGCTTATGGAGTGAATCATTGGACGGAAGATCTTCCTCTCTGTCTCTTCTCCTCTCTGTTTATCAGCCCTTCCAAAAAAAATAAGTAAATCTTTAAAAAAAAAAAATTAGGGGAAATACACTCAAAAAAACCACTGCAACTTTTTTTCATTTCTAGATCTCTCTCAGTCTCCGTTAAAGACTCATGTTGATTCCTTCCTACCTTTTTGTGCATTGAGGTCTTCATTCCGATGAACACCGTAGGGATGCAGAATGCAAGGACTCAGGGGGCTGAATTCCCAGTTCTAGAAAGAAATGGAGCAGAGATGGAGATTTTCTATAAGATGTCACCCTCCTTTTCTTCATCCAAGAACACAATGTCAGGAAAACCCTTGGGTGAAGTGGGTTTCAATTCTAGTTCTGTCTCCCAGCCAAAAGTGCTACAAGTCTGACAATTTTCAGCAATTGATCCTACCACAAGCTACATATGCAATAATTGTAAGGCTGGCAAATCAACTAATCAAGCATAAGAAATGGGTTCTAATTAGGTAAAAAGAAGAGAGTCCAGGGGACAAGGAATGCTCAGCTGCATTTGTCCAAGAGCTCCGAGAGTGTATCACTCATCAGACCCCAAAGAGGTCCAACCCAGGAAAGACGGGGAGAGAACCAAGCATTAACAATAACAGAGCCCCCAGGCCCCCTTCCAAGTCAAGGCAGGCAGATCAGATAACATATAAAGGAAAAGGTCCCCTTCTATTGTCTACATGCTCAGCCCACAATGCTCCAAGACAGATCTTTTAAATAAGTATCAGAATTCCAGAAAACAGGGCAAGCTCGTTAATAATGGTGCGATTCAGCCACTGTTCCTCCAAATAAATACATTAGAAATGTCATTACTCTAATCAGATTAGCTGTTGTCCCTTGTGTTATGCCTTGAATAATCAGTGAAATCCTCCTTAGTGGACTTGGCAAGTGTATTGTCTAGAAATGCACAGACAAAATGGTGGCTTCCTAGTATTTTTCCTCTTTAAAGAAGTTTCTCGAACACTTTTAAAATACATGGATTCGCTCCCACCAACAGGCAACTTCACTCAGCTGTGTTCAGTTCCATGATTTGCAGCACCAGGCTGTCAATTTTCATGTTGCATCTTGTTATTTATTACAGCAATTCTCATCTTTTACAGGAACAATTGATTATGACAGGTTAAATGTCACTATCTTCAAAGCTAACCCTCACAGATTAGCAGCTACGTCACCTCTTGCACACTTACACTTGAAAATATGAACCACAGCTCATAACCACATTATGCACTGGGCTGATTCTTCTTGTCAATAATGCCTATAAACACTTTTTGTTGGTAACTGGCTCTTTACTCCTCTGAACCAAACAGCCTCTACCCATTTGAACTGGGCGACGGCTTGGATCTTTTGTAAGTAAACTGAGACCTAGTGATGAATTTATGTGCTATCATAGCCACATTCATGATGTGAAGGTCATTTCAATTTAAGGCTGCTTTGTTATTTGGGATTCAACATTTTAAAAGTCATAATTCTTAAGAGGAAGAAATACTGCAATTGTTTATTAAACTTTCCTATAAAATTCTCTTTTCTGCTGTAGAACATTTAGCAGCATTAATGCTGAATAAATAATAAACATATATACCAAACGAACACCTTGTCTCTTGGAGAACAGAGGCATACACTTGCACACAACATTAATCATCCATTTGAGATGAGGACTTTTGGTTCTAAATTGACTTTTTTTTTTTTTTACTGTGTGTCTGAAATCACTTGACCTTTCCTAGGATGCTTTTCTACTATGAAATAATCAACAGCCATTGTGATTTATCCATGTGTACAGAAAAGTTAGGAAGTAAGTTGAAGATTCACTCAATAGCAGTTCCCCCAAAGCAACACAGACCCAGTGGCACTGGCCTCCCTTTTCTATTCCTGTCTGAAAAATTCCATACATTCAGTCCATGTCCTGGTTGCTCCACCTCTGACCCCACTCCCTGCTAATATGTCTGGGATAAGCGGTAGAAGATTGCTCAAGTCCTTGGGCCCCTGCCACCCCTGTGGGAGACCAGGATGAAGCTTCTGGCTCTTGCCTTTGGCCTGGCCCCGCGCTGGCCATTGTGGCCACTTAGGATGTAAATCAGTGGATGTAAGATGTCTGTCTCTGTAACTCCGACTCTGAAAGCAAACAAATCTCTAAAAAATAAGACAAAGAAACCACGCCTCTGCCTCCAGCACAACCATTGGTTAGGGGCTATCCATAAGCATTCCCACAGACACTGGCTCACTCGTATGGTTCCTGGTGCATTTACTGCCCGACCCCCAAAGAGCTTGTCCCTTCTCTCTCTGGTTGTCACTTCAGAAACCTAAGGACATGTTTTCCAAACCACCACAATGAATTCTGTGGACAAGTCCAAAGTCCAAGCTGCTGCCTTATTTTGAAAGTGATGAAGACATTTGCCAGAAGCAGTGCTACCTTGGCGTTGAAGCAGCACAACTGTGTATTCCAAAGGTGTCTATTCCAAAGTGTGACAACCATAAGAATGACTGGGAAGGGCTGACCAGGACATTCACTCAAATTAGTAGACAGGAGATAAATCGTTATCACCTATACAGACTCTCCCAGCTGGACTTATAAAACAAGGTTCATGAGAGGCTAAAAATAAATTCCACCCAGACCTCAGACAATTCAGCATTTATCTCGCCCTTTCCTTGGGTCTAAATAAGTCATTAAGTTTCTTCGGAGTCCAAGAAGGCTCCTCATTATGATGTTCCCATAAAACCAACTTCCTGCTGCTCCGACAACTGTGGATAATGGCGCCCGAGACATGGAAGTTTGAATGCACACTGATAAAAATCAGGTTTTCTGCATGCAATGGATATTAAAAAATACCAAACTTTTATGATTTTTTTTGAATGTTAAGCAGCGGCTGCAGGGCTGAGGTGACCTCGCCGTGTGTAAGGTGGTGAGTAGAAGACAGGGCAAACATCCTCCCGTCTGGCATCTTTAATAACTTGTCGGCACAAGCCTTCAACCAGTGTGGTCTCCCAGCCGCAGTTGTGTGGGCGTAAACACTGCTCAAAAGCAGCAGCTTTGTCACTTGCGGTCAGCTCTCTTTGGCCCAGCCTCCCCAGAGGTACAACCCAACCAACTCTCCTCTGGGGTTCCCTCCTGACACAAAGTGAATCTAAACTCAAGAACAAAAGTCTTCATATGTGTCCTTGTATGTCAAGGATTAGCACTATTGAAAGCGTTCTCTATTATCCGCTTGTCACTTCTTTGCTACTTAATCTCTTTCTTTCTCTTGCTCAATGGCCTCCTCTTACTTTCTTTGCTGGGGAAGAAATAAGAGGGCTTTCCCTGCACACCCCTACTCTTTCTCTCTCACTGCCTTTCTCTTTCTCTCTCTTCCCTTTTTAAGGAACTTAACCAAGTTAGAGGCCATGTCAGTCTGACCACCTGGATGGACAGGCAGGCGCTGTTGGCCCAGCACCCCACGGACAGCCAGCTGTGCCATTGTCCCCCCAGCCAGCTTTGTGCAGGCCCTGGTCCCAGGATGGGCCTGGCTCTGCTGACAGTCACCTCCCGCCTGGCCAGTGTCCTGCTCCGATTGTCCTCAACTTCCCTTATTTAATGCTGTTTGGCAAATTATTAAGGCCTGGAAGTCTATTAATCACAGTTCACAGCCCATGTAAGGCCACACAGGGGAGGCAGAGCTGGGCGGGGAGGCCCGCTGGCAGGACTGAATGTGTTGAAGGGGCTGGCCCATTCACATCCTTAACGAGATCATTACTGTTAACTAAATACACTCCCGGCCTCATGACCCTCCAGGGAGGCATGTGGACCCATTTGGGACATCAATAGGGTCTCACACCCCATGCCACTGCCCTCCAGCACTGGAAGCTAAACCAGGATCAAAAGGTGCCCAGCCCTGCTCCACCGCCTCCCCAAGCTTCAGGCTCCTGAGCGATGCCCTTGGAAGGCTCCTGGCCTCTGCCCAGCACTGCGGTGGGCAGGATGCGGCCAGGCCAATTCTTTAGTTGACTTGGCACAGAGGTCTCTTCTGGGGACCCCCTGGGAGAATGAGCTAACTGGCCCCAGTCCAACCTGCCCACAGCTCTCACGGAGTCCAGAGACAGGCTGAGCATCCCTGAGTGGCAAGCACAGGCCCAGCATTGTGCATGCTGTGATGTCAGGGAGCAGAGCTGAGCACCAGGGCTTTTGGGGCCCTTAAATATGGTGTGAGTCCCCTCAGCTGGTTCTGCCTAGGCAGAAAGATCTGTACTCATGGAGGTGGAAGACAGCCATGTGAACCCACCCTCATAAGCAAAGGTAAAGCGTGTGTGGGAACATGTTGTGTCAATGTGCATGAATGAGTGTGTACATATGTGAGAATCTGTACAAGCATGAGGATGTGTGAGAACATACTTACAAATATGTGAATGCGTATCTGTGTGAATGTGTGTAAGCTCATGTGTTCGTGTATTATGTGTACAAGTATGGGCATGTGTGTTTCTTACATGTGGATGTGCATTAGTGACTTCATCATGTGTGTATATAAGTGTATGAATAAAATGAATCTGTGAATGAGCTTATATGTATGCGACTATTGTGTGAGAGGAACATGTATGAATATGTTGAACATGTGTAAGAGTGTGTATTAATGCAGATAACTGTGTGTTGGGAGTGTGTGTGTGCACCTGGGTGTGGGGGGTAGTCATGAATGTGTGTGTATATACACACCTGTGTGTCTGGGAAATGCTTATCTATCTGGGTTAATTGCTCTTCACTGGCAAGTCACATGTAAAAATTCCACTGCCTGGCTGGCAATGGCGATCCCCGTGTGGTGTGTTGGGAACTGAGATATTCTAGGGAAAGAATGAACCAGCAAGCAATTATTTCTTAGCCATATTTTTTCTCTTTCTTTTCAAAAGAAATGGTGAAAAATTCAATTCAATCTCCAAAATAACAAAGAAACATATCCACATATCTACGTGCATTACTTTTGTTAACCATTTATTCTGGCAGAAAATCAAACCACAGAATATTAGCATTTAGGCCTATTTTCTTTTTAAATCTAAGGGGTCCATGACAGAAGCCTATTTCTGGTCCTGTCTCGCATGTTTGGTGTGGCTTTCTGCCTCCTTATGAATGGTATCACTCCTTTGAAGGTATGTAACCTAGAATACATGCACATGGTGTCTGAGAACTTGGATTTCCCAACCAAAACCTCAAGTCCAGAGTCTCTGCATTTTAAATTTCCACCTACCTTCAATGAGGCATTGAAAC